AATCCAGAAATACTTCAAACCCAGTCAAGAAACACAAACTGGAAGGATTTCCAAAGCTGGTGGAGTTAGTATTTACAACTGCACTTAGAAAGGCTATCACTTTCTCCCAGCTGACCAGTGTAGTCATTCTTGGGAACCAAAGCAAAATAGCATGTGAGATAATGCTGGAGCTTCACAGGGACAGCAACAAGAAAGAAAGAGGGTGGATTTGGGATTGTAGTCAGCACCACGTTAGACTTCTCAGCATTTCTCTCATGCACTGCAGGAAACTAGCCTGACAGGGATCCCAGGACAAATGGCCTTGGGGGACATCTAGCACCCACATGTTGTCCAGCCACACATCCTGCCACTTCTCCACAATTACCAGGACACTGTTGGTAGAAGGATAGACAGAGATATTCAAAAACATCTGAACATACATCCAGGAATGAACAGATTTTCAAAGAAAAAAACAACATTGCTAAAGGAAGATACCAAATGTAATAAATAACCAATATTGAAAGAAGAGCTATTAAGATGATGAGAAATTTAAAGTGTGTGTGATCAGTATATGCAAAGTAAAGAATCAGTGTATTCATGATTCTGCCATATCCATACAACAGTAATTATTTTTTTTAAGTTTTTTTTTAAAGATTTTATTTATTTATTATGTATACAACATTCTGCTTCCATGTCTATCTGTACACCAGAAGAGGGCACCAGATCTCATAACAGATGGTTGTGAGCCACCATGTGGTTACTGGGAATTGAACTCAGGACCTCTGGAAGAGCAGTCGGTGCTCTTAACCTCTGAGCCATCTCTCCAGCTCCACAACAGTAATTATTTACACCAAGTTGGAACTAGTATGAGGCAGACTCTCTTACTGAACCAGGGACATAACGATTGGGTGAGCTGGTCTCAGTAACCATCTTATCACTGGCATCGCCCATCAACACCTCTCCAGGACTGGGATTACAGTGACCATATCCACATGGGTTCTAGGGTGATCCAAACTCCCATCCTTACACTTGAATGACAAGTACTTTACCCACTGAGTCCTAGCCCCAGAAATACTTTAATTAAAACTATTCTGCTATCTCAATGGATCACCTAATAGTCTACAGCAACAAAGAGAAATTAGTGATGGCAATAATAAAAGTTGTCACTAATCATCTTAGCCAAATTAACATCATTAACAGTGGATCAAATGACATGTGTATTTTCCTGTGTGATGAACCAAGGGCACAGTATTGCTTCTGTAATATTCTTGCTGAAAATGTTTACTGCACACTTAGACTGGGGGAGGGAGGTGTTATCAGACAGCTCCAGATAGGAATAAAGGCATTCTATAAACTAACTCCTGTGGACTCCTCTCAATTAAAAGATACTCATGAGATTGAAAGATATTCATGAGATAAAAAACAAAAGAGTGCTACATTTGATGAAAAGAATGCAAGGAAACATGAAAAGTAAATGCTCTTCATAGCCTTTAAGTTAGGTTCCTCAACTTAAAAATAAAGCTAAAGAGGACATTATTTGGAATAATTTGGCAAGTTTGAATATAGACTAGATATTAATAATGTTGTGTATATCAAATTATATTAATTATATTCAACCCAGGGTTTTAGAATTATTTGGTGTGATCATTTATGTGGGGGGTGGGGGTAATATAATAAAACATCTATTATGAGAAGTCTTTCTCAACAGCCTGGTCCCACAGCCAAGTCCACACCAAATGAACACACAGAGACACTATATTAATTATGAAATTGTTGGCTAATGCTAGGATTTCCTATTGGCTATCTCTGTCTTAATTATTAAGCCATTTCTACCAAGCTATGTATTGCCTAAAGGCTGTGGCTTACCAGGTAATGCCTGGCATGGTGTTACTCCTCCAGCAGCATCACAACTCTGTGGCAGGCTCTGTCTGCTTCCCTTTCCCAGAATTCTCCTCATCTCCTAGTCCCACCTATCTTCCTGCCTCATTGACCAAGCAGTGTTTTTTTCATCAACCAATAAGAGAAACATATACAGAAGGACATCCCCCATCACACATCCATATTCTGTTTTCTCTATTTTTGTATATTTGGTAGGTGTGTGTGTGTGTGTGTGTGTGTGTGTGTGTGTTGCATGTATGTTTGTACACATGGGTAAGAGTGTGTATACCAGTATATTCAGAGACCGAGGAAGGGTACTGAGCACCTTCCTATGTCACTGTGTTCCTTATTAATTTGATACAGAATATCTCACTGAAGCTGGATAGACTGGCAAGCCCTGGAGCTCCCAGGACCTGCCTATCTCTTCTTCCCAGAGCAGGGTTTATAGGCATGTGCAGCCATGCCTGGCTATTGCCCAGGTGTGGGGGATTTGAATGCAGGTCTGCATGTTGCACAGCAGAGTCTCTTACCCACTGAGCCATCTTCCATCCATAATATCCTTGTTCATCAGGCAATATATATACTGAAGTATTTAGGACTGTGTGAAGTAAGGCCTAAATATAAGTGAAGCAACTTATATTTAAATGGTTGATCACAAAAATATGTGTAAAAATTCACATGTAATTTTAGGTACTAACATATGCAATTTTTCAAAATAAAGGGTGAATCCTACCAAGTGCCAAGAAAAGTTAACATAAAAGAGTTCACACAGAGACATATTTAGGAGCCATTTTAAGATTCCAAAGTTGAAAGATTATAGCCTAAAACTTTTCAAAGATCCATAAATAGACTACGTACAAAAGCAACTCTGGATATAAATAGAAGATGAGAGAACAATGCCATCCAAGTTCTCAGAGAAACTTAGTTCGAACATAGATTTCCGTGCATAGCCAATAGAACATAGGTGCAAGCGTGTTGGAAGGGGAGGGGGAGATATGTACTTTGAGTCACATAAAGGCTAAGAACCTTTTTTTCCACAATTCTCCTCTGAAATAATCAGCCCAATATACATTCCATACATCCCTTCATGTTACCTAGCCTTCAAAGTCTAAAAAGCAGAGGGCTTTTCTGAAGAGTCGCCCTTGACCCTCTCCCAAATCACCAAGCTCAGGTTCAAGTCCACTGGTGAATTCTGCCCAGAGGTAAGTGCCAAATGGACAACTACACCTAGGCTAGAGGGCAAATGCAAATAGGTTTAAGAGGTCATTGCCCTCTGACTATGAAATGATAATTATTTGCTTAATTAATTTCCACCAAACAGCATACCATAAGGTTGGAAAAACTATTCCTCAGGCCAGCTACATCCCCAGCATCAATGTGCACAAAGTGCACAGCGGAGGACAAAAACTTCCCACCAGGCAGCTTGTATTCATGCTCTGGCTGACTTCTGAAGTTCCTGCTGTGCTTTGAGGAAGGGTGCAGAGCTCAGGCTTGTTGGTGTGCACCTTTCTCCTTTTGCTAACTCAGGAGACAGAAGAGACAAACAAGAGTCATTACCAGTTCTTACAGGAAAGGTAGACTTTTCCCATAAGCAGCCAGTCTCTTCACAAATTTGAGGGCATTAGCGTTGTTGTCGCTGCTGTTGCTGCTTTAAAGGATTGGTAAGACTGAGCTAAAAGGCAGGAAGTGAAGCTTCTATATCAAACATGCTCAATTATGGCCAACAGTTTAAATTTCTCTAGAGTTATATCTACATACTAAAAATAGAATTAAGTAAAAGAATATAAAACACAAGAGATCCCTTATCTCCAAACTGCCTAATGTTAGACAACAGCCTTGCTGTTGTTTCTATAGCTCTGGCTGTTGTCTAGGGGTGGCTCATGCTTGTAGTCTTAGCACTCAGCAAACTGAGGTCGGAGGAGTGCCATGAATTTGAGGCTAGCTTAGGCTATATACAGTGTCAGTACATCCAGGGGTATGTAAAAAAAATCTTGTCTAAAGAAGGGAGGGAAGAGGGAGAGGGACAGAAGACCCAAAGGACAAAGAGGATTAGGAGAAAAAGTAGGAAGAGGGGAGAACCAGTTTTTCTTCTGTGTCTCACATCAAGCCTAGTGTTTGGTATTTAGTTGATATTCAAGAAATATTTGTATGGGAATGAAGGAGCAAATAAACAAATAACAAAGATGGAGAAAGTTGAAGCCTATATCCCTGACCATTAATATGGTACAGGGATACTTCCCTGTGGCTACAAACATTTTCAAAGTAAAATGGGGGAGATAATGACAGAGTATATACCTAGACCAAGAACTATGATCCTCCATCCAATTTCATGTCCCCTTGTGGTTGAACCAATTTTTAGTGTTGTTTGGGGATTTATTTGTTTGAGGCTTGTCACATGAACACGAGTCTTGGTGGCCGGTGCTTTGCTGTGGACAGCTACTCAGGATGATGCGGCTCTCCCTTCATACAGACGTTAGCTGATGGGTCTTTAGTGTGTCAGTACAGTACCACTGCACCATAGGGCTGGCTTTGCTTCACCTGCTATATTAAAAGAGACTGGAGAGCCCAGGAATTTGAAAGCTAGTCCATGCTCTACTGTAGCCTGAGAAAGCCATTGTCTAGGATCAGAGGAAACAGCAGGGCGTGGGGGGCGGGGGCTCCATTACTCCCTGCTGAGTACCACCTGCTCCTGCCTCTGATACTCACTCCTGACTCTAAGACCAAAACCCAGCTTGTGTTCACAGGCTAAACCTGTTCCCAAGAAGGGTTTCTAAGTAACTCATGCCAGGCAACAAAACAACTCTTCATCAAAGGGAGAGGCCTAAAGTTTGTTTTGAACTTTAAGTGATGTTGACCTCAATTATCATTCAAGAATACTATATACACACAAACATGCAAACACAACACAGACAGACACATGCACATGCATGCACAGACGCGCACACACACACACACACACACACACACACACACACACACACACACACACACACACACACACACACTTGCTTTATAACTCAGAGAGACATTAGCATTAACGAGGCATTCAAAAACATAGCCAGTCTTTGTAATGACACCCTGAGTAGAGACACTGCAATGCTGACTTCTCACCCCCTTCTCCTTATCTAACACTTCTTCCTTAGGAAAGGAAGCAAGTGGGGGAGCAAAGAGTTTGGACAGCAAAATTGAAGAGAACGCTGAAACACCTGCCCTGGAGGACTCATCATCATCCCCTCTAGAAAGCCAGCAGCAGTCCTGGCAGGTTTCCACAGACATTGAGAACACTGAAAGGTAAGTGGGATGTTCCTCCTGAACAGAAGTGAACCCTCCTCCAGTCTGTGTTCTCAGGGACCACTTAGAGTGCAGGAGTTCATATTCCAGGCTCAGGAGAAACAGGGCTCAATGTAGTCTGACAGAACAGCTAGGCTGGCAGGAACTTGAGTCTGCCTAACATGCAGGGGGAAACCTAGAAAGAGAGTGAAGTGTTACTAGGGTTTGTAGAAACATGACAAAATTGCTGAGAAAACAACTCCAAGATGAAAGCTTTGTCTTGGCTCTTGGTTTCAGAGTATGTAGCCTAGGAGTGGCCGGCTCCATTGTATTTAAGCAATTCATGGGAGCCTATAACAAAAGACCACACTCACCTTATGACAGCCAGGAAGCACAGAGAAAGAGAGAAAGCAGGAGGGGCTGGAGGCAAGGTGTGTCCTTCAAAGCCATACCCCTGGTGCCATGTGGCTTACTTCCTCCAACCTTGCCCCACCTCCTAGTTTGCCCTACCTCCCAATAATAATGTCAAATAATGTATCCACCAATGCACTGACCTGCCAATTAGGTCAGAGCCCTTATGATCCAACCACCTCTTAACAGGGCCTCCAGCAGGGGACCAAGCCTTCAACACATAAACCTACGGGACCATTTTACGCTCAAACCACAGTAAGTGGTCTATACCCTACAGGGAGACAGTAGCAGGATCTACAGCAGTTTCAGGCTCCTAGACCTCTGCCTGCCTCCACCCAACACACCACATGTCTATTGGGAATGAAAACAATCCAGGAGTGCACATCTCTAATCCCAGTACTTGGGAGGCACTGTTTCAAAAAGAGAAGGGAAAGGAAAGGAAAGGGAAGGGAAGAGAAGGGAAAGGGAAGGGAAGAGAAGGGAAAGGGAAGGGAAGGGAAGGGAAGGGAAGGAAAGGAAAGGAAAGGAAAGGAAAGGAAAGAAAAGAAAAGAAAAGAGAAAAGGGCGCACCTATTACCAGTTCCTAAATCACCCTTTTATTTGAGGGGAAAGAATCTAAATTATCCAAAGATACTTTGGGATGTTTACAATGTCCTACTTAGCATTCTGACCAATCCACGGGTTTTCACAGCCTCTTTTTCCTCTCCTGGGATATAGCTGATGGCACCTTAGTAGCCAGAATGAGTTAATGCATCATCCAATACAAGTTACAGCTAAAGAAGGACTTTCTCCAGGATGGAAACAATTCTATGGTGATTCTGTTTCATTGAGGAAAAGAAATCAATAATGATAACAGAACAAGGAACCATCCAATCAACATGTTGAAAATACTCTTCTGTGAAGCAAAACGATGAGGTCCTTGTGTAGCCTTCACACTAATGCCCATGCCCTTTGCTATGACTGTCTCCAGAGCTGGTGCTAGGCAGCTGAATGAACTCAGGGTAATTCTACTCCATGTTCTGTGTGTATGAGTCACAGACAAGATAATGAACATTTTATTATTTTTATCTTTAGAAAGGGAACACACAATGGCATTGTGGTTCTACTTTCAGGTTGTAATATAATTCTAAGGCTAATTACCAAATTTCTGTGTTTATAGGAAAGTGGAAGAATCTGGTAATTGTGTGCTATTAATATAACTTGTGTACACTTCGACAATGAAGCTTGTTTGTCTCCATTTTATGGAAGTATGAACAAATGATGAAAGAGCCAAGTATCTTCATCTATAGAAATAAATTATTTTATAGAAATAAATAGAAAATTCTTTGGTCTCCCAGAGAAAGGGAGTGGTGCATCTATCAGAATGTCATGGTCAGGGCAGAAGCCATCTGCAAAGCCATTTCCTTTTCATACACCTCAGATCACAGTTAGGGTCACACCTCATGCTTTAAGAAATTGCTGGGTGGTGGTGGCACACACATTTAGTTCCAGCACTCAGGAGGCAGAGTCAGATGGATCTCTATGAGTTTGAGGCCAGCCTGGTCTACAGAACAAGTTCCAGGACAGCCAGGGGCACACAGAGAAACCTGTTTTGAAAACCCAAAAAGGAAAAAAGAAGAGAGGGGGGAGAGAGAGAGGGAGAGGGAGAGGGAGAAAAAGAAGAAGGAGAAGGAGAGGGAGGAAGGAAGAAAAAACAAAAGAAAGTAATGTTTCCTGGCAGTGAGTGTAGAGTAGGATAGCCTGCTGTGTTTGCAATGCTGCTGGCTAGAATGTAAGTCCATACTCTGGTCAAGGGAGATAGCCCTGTCTGAGGGAATTGGACAGCAATAAACATAGGCAGAGATGAGCTTTGGTGTTACCTTGCTCTCTGCCCAGTGCTCTGCTCCGGGGATATCAAATTGTACTGGCATTTAACTCTCCAGGATAGCTCTCTAAGTCATTGGAAGCTGCCCCCTCCCCATCTTAGATGCAGAAGAGCCACAGGTGATCGATCCTCCAGTGCAAGGTGACAATGGGACTTCATCCCAGTGGTGTGTGATTTGTCCTTCCCCTCACATTCAACTTGGCTGGAGACCTTACATGGAAGCCCTACTGAGGGTGGCCGTGCCTCCCTATGGCTCCTTCTCCTTCAGCTTTGTCTGCATGCTGTGCCTGTGATGCTCCCTCAGCCTCACATCATTGGACGTCATTCTGAATGTTCCAGGGGTCTTTCTATCCACTCACCAGGCTGTTCTCCTTTCCTTTTCCAGTCAGTGGCTCCCTTTTGTTTTTGTTTTTTAATTAATTTTTTGTTTTACACCCAGACCACACTTTTCCCTCCCTCATCTCCTCCCATTCCCTCCCCCCACTTACCTTCCACACCCCCTTCCCATCCATTCCTCCTCTGTTTCTGTTCAGAAAGGGGCAGGCCTCCAATAGGTGTCAACAAAGCTTGGCATATTAAATTGTGCTAAGACTAAGCACCTCCCCTTGTATGAAGGCTGGGCAAGGCAATCCAGTATGAGGAATGGGTTCTGAAGAGCCCATCAAAGAATTAGGGACAGCCCCTGCTCCCATTGTTAGGAATCCCACAAGTAGACCAAGCTACACAACTGTGACATATGTAGAGGGCCTAGGTCAGTCCCATACAGGCTCCCTGATTATTGGTTCAGACTGTGTGAGTTCCTATAAGCCAGGTTAGTTGTTTCTGTAGATTTTCTTGACCACCCCCCCCCCAGCTCCTAAGCTAGGCCTAATGTTTGACTGTGGGTATCTGCATCTGTTTCCATCAGTTACTGGATGAAAGCTCAATAATGAAAATTGGGGTAGTCACCAATCTGATCACAGAAGATGGCCAGTTCAGGCTATGTATCCATTATTGCTAAGAGTCTTAACTGGGGTCATCCTTGTAGATTTGTGGGTTTCCATTGCATCAGAGTTCTACCTGTTCCTGAAATGGCCCTCCCTCCAGTCATCTCTTTTCATTACATTTCCCCCAGTTAATCACCCTCAACATGATACCCCAAGTTCCTATACCCACCTGCCCCTGGGCCACCCAGGAGATCTCTTCTATTTTCCCCTCCCCAAGGAGATGCATGCATCCCCTCTGGACCCTCCTTGTTACCTAGCCTCTCTGGATATGTGGATTTTAGCCTGTTTATCCTTTACTTAATAACTAATATCCACTTATGAGTGAGGACTAACTATGTTTGTCTTTCTGGGTCTGGGTTACCTCACTCAGGATTATTTTTTTCTAGTTCCATCCATTTGCCTTCAAATTTCCTGGTGTTATTGGTTTGAACAGTCTAGTATTACTCCACTGTGTAAATGTACCACATTTTCTTCATCCATTCTTCAGTTTAAGGGCATCTAGGTTGTTTCCAGGTTCTGGCTATTAAGAATAAAGCTGCTATAAACAAAAGTGAGCAAGTATTCTTTTGGTATGATTGGAGTTCAGTTTTGTATCTTAACCTTGAGCAAGAGAGGGTCAGCTTGGGTCTTCAGCCTCCCCCAACAGTGGTCCTCCAATACTACTCAACAGAACGGTGGAGCTTTGTAGAGCAAACTGAAAGTTTCAAACCAGAAATTGCATGGTGATTCTTTCCTCAACCTAAAACAAAAAGTAGTAGATATAAAATCTCTAATGTGGGAGTTTTCCTTTCTCTCTCTCCTCTTTTGTAGTTCTAGACATTAAACCTAAATCCCCATACATGCTAAGTAAATGTTCTACCCGTGAGTTCTATCCTCAATTCTTCCACTCCTTTTCTTTTTTTCTATTTAACTTTTTTGTTTTGAGGCAGGGTAGCCCAAGAAGGCCTTGGACTTTTGATCCTCCTGCCTCTGTCTCGTGAGTAGCTGTTAAGTACAGGCTTGTGCAACCAGCTTTAGTTCAACTTTAGAATATTTCCCCCACCATATTCTTTAAAAAATGTATTTACCTATCTCCTTATTTATTTATGTGCACTCAGGTGTGTAGGCATATTTGTGTGTGTGCTACATTGTACATGTTAAGACAAGAAGACAAGTTGTATATGTGCATGTATGTGTGTGTGTGTGTGTGTGTGTGTGTGTGTGTGTGTGTTACACTGCACATGCACAGAGCAGAAAACAAGTTGCAGGAGTCAATTTGCTTCTAGCATATGAGTCCTGGGAATTGACTTCAAGTGGTCCCCGATGGCCTCTCTCCCAGTATCTCTACTGTGAAAAGCTCTTCCCTGGAGATCTCAGAATGTATCCCTTGTCGAGCCTGGTGGCACAAACCCATTCCAACACTCAGGAGACTAGAGCAGGAAAGCCAAAATTCAAGGCGATCTTCTGAGAACTTTTCTCAAAGAAACAAGGGCTGTAACTGTAGTTCTCTGATAGAGAGACTCCCTGGCATTCACAGGGCCCTGGGTGTGATGCCTAGTACCACACAACAACAATAGTAATGACAGTAATAATAATTTATTGCTCTGCTATCGTTCATATCAGTTCATGGCAAGAGGAGACTTAAAACAAGCAGAGAGCAAGGAATCCGCACAGAAGCACAGCCATCTGGCCATAAGCCTCAATGATGCGTCCCCAAGCCTGACTCCCCCAGGGGCCCACTGTTCCAGTTGTGTGTCCTTGGCCTCTCTCTGTAGATTCATAATACTGTCCTCAATATAAAGGCTCTCCACTGAATTCAGCCAGGTCAGACCAAAGACAGAGATGCCAAGGGCTGGAGCAGAATCCCTCCTGAGGAAACATTTGGCAAGAAACTGCATTTCTTCCGGAGCCCGCCCCTCTCAGATATTCTTTCTTATAAAAGCAAAGTTAATTCAATGTGTGTCAGTTAGAACAAGAGCAGTTGTGATTCGATGTAGAATCCCACCCTTCCATCATCAAATAGAGCACGAAGCTTGAGGTTTCACTTGGGAGATGCACGGCTAAGTTTTTCTTCTTTTTATTGACCCTACAGAGACATGCGAGAAATGAAAAACCTCCTAAGCAAACTCAGGGAAACCATGCCTTTACCGCTGAAAAATCAAGGTGAGTCCTGGGATGTCTCTTTGAGGCAGAGGATATCTTTAACACGCTGAACTTGGAACCTGCTTCTTAGCAAGGTAATGCAAGCCTTTCGCACAAAGAGAGGAAAACCTTGGACCTTTCCCTTTCTTAGAGAGAATGTGATAAGAAAGGCTTGGTGATGGAGATACTGAGATGCACTCACCTGAAAGAAGACGCTTCCATCCCTGCCAGACCAGTCATGTGCTGTGCAAAGTACCACACGGGTGTTCCTCCACAAGAGGACCAATAACATGGTTCTTGTCTGTACAGGGCTTATAGACTAGTGGAAAAATATCCCTCCATTTACATACATGTTTAATTATATAAAAATAATAATAGGAAGAATTAATATATATTAGGAACACATGCTGTGCCACTATTCTGAATACTTCATATGTGTCTGCTATGTTGGCTTATACATTTTTTTTTCTTTTTTTCTCCTGTATTAGGGGTCAAAGCAAGGACCTTGCATGTTAGGCAAGTAGTCTACTATGAACTATATCCCCAATCCCCTTTTAAATCTAATAATGATTTAGCAAGATTCTATTATAATTTCCTAATCTTCAGGGAGCTAAGACAAGGGGATTAGTCTGTTTTTCAATGTCATATAGATTATAATAGAATGACTGAGCTGTGAATTTGAACTCAGGAAGCCCATCGCCAATGCTGTGCAAGAGAATACAATGGATATTCATTTCTGTTTTGAATTTGGGATGGTTCTAACTTTGTTAACTATTGGATCCCCTGTGTCTGGAGCCTGGAACACAAAATACCACCTGGTACAAACAAATGTTTGTTAGATCTTCACCCAGCTTTGTGGGACTCTGAGGCTGAAGATGTGCACAAAAGTAAATAATAAGTGCTTTTCATGAAGCATACTTAGCTAGAGCAGCCATGAGCGAAACATTAGCTTCAGAGAGTGGTACCAAGAGGATGGGAAAGGCTCTTTAGAGGCTAGAAAGAAACTCCTCCTGTTTCCACCAAACAAAGCCTGTGCAGGAGGGAGGGAGGACAGTACACCATTTGCCTGGGAGCAAGGGAAGCTGAGTGAAGAGGAGGGGAGGAGGAGGACTTGGCAGCAGAGCTGAAGTGCCTCTTGGCTCAGAGAGCATCTCGGCAGAAGGTGGAGAGGTGGAGGCAGGCGGGAGCACCAGACAAAGGCTGAGAAGCAGCATTGGCTGCTCTGTGCTGGAGACTTGGGTCAGAAGAGGGGGCAGGGAAGGAGGCAGGTCATTCCAAGCAATCCCCAAAAGCCTGCTCACCCCACCCCACCCTCAGAGCCAGTCAGGCTGCTTCAGAGTACTGGGAGAAAGTAGACATGTAGTAAGGGGATTTCTCTGACCACACATACAAATCTGCTGAGAAGTGAGCATGGGTTGCAGATGAAGGGCTTCAATTGACTCTAGCCTTGAGTTCAGATTCTGGCTCTGTGGTTGTCTACCCCTCTGACCGAAAGCAAACTGTTTGACTTCCGGAAATTTCAGATTTCTTGTCCCTGCTTGGGGGAAGACTTCTGATGGTGGCTTGAGGGTTAATGATCAGTACACCACATGCCTATCATCAAACTTACAAACAGCAGAAGCTAAAGGGACTCTTCGCTGTTGTTGTGTTTGTGGAACTGTTCTTACCATTTCCCAGCTTCCCCACCCAGACTTTCTCAGAACTCCAAGCCAGCAGCAACTCAGCCTGCAAGGACCATGTGTCATGTCCATGTCTTGAGATCCAGGCCAGAGAACAGGCCTTTGAAGCTTCACATTTGGAGCACAGGTTAGGATCATTAGGCTTGGTAGGATCATTAGGCTGTGGACTCTACCCTGCCTCTTACTGAACCACACATTCAGCTTCCCAGGAGGGTAACTTCCCACGGTGCCCAGTCTGAATTTTGTGAATGTCATGAAGTCTATATAATTTTTAAGTTTTTTATTAATTTATTTTTTATATTCCAATCCCAGTTCCTCTCCCTCCTCTCTTTCCGCTCACCCCAATCCCTCCCACCTCCCATCTGCTCCTCAGCGAGGGTAAGGTCTCCCCTAGGAAGTCTACTAAATCTGTTCCATCATCTAGTAGAGGCAGGACCAAGGCACCTCTCCACCTCCCCACACCCCTGTGTCTAGGCTGAGCAAGGTATCTCTCCATATAGAATGGGCTCTACTAAGTCAGTTTGTACATTAGTGTTAGATCTTGGACCCCACTGCCAGTGGCCTCATATATTGTCCCAGTCACACCATTGTCACCTATATTAAGGGAGTCCAGTTAGGTCTTATACAGGTTCCTCATTTGTCAGATCTGAGTCAGTGATGAAGTCTATATTTTAAGTGATCCCATTTAAAACCTTTCTTCCACAACTAGTGCTGGTCCACACAGCCATTTCAGAACTGTGCTGACAGAAACACAGAAATTTCATTTTAATTAGGTAATTTTCAAAATCATAGGTGGTATGATATAAATAGATATTTTTATATTCTATCAACAGAAAATTACTGGACTTTCAAATGTATTTGCAAGATAAAAGAGCAGCAGCAGTAAGTGTTGGTACTAAGAAAGAATGATCACCCAAATAAATAATACCAGGTCTTAAATCACTAATCCATCTGGAAAATGAAAATACAAAAATTTATTCAGGAAGTGTTTCAGTCATACTCTAACAATAAAAAGGACAGCTGAGGCAAAGTGTTTTGGGAAATCCAGGCATCGCATTCTGCAGTGAAATTCGAATGAACACTTAGCAAGTTGGCCTCTACTGAGAGCATGCTGTCACTGTCAGTGGGCAGGGCAGAAGGGTGTGAGAATTAGAGGAAGGGGCCAGACAGGCCCTGAGGAAAGGATAACCAGTCTCTTGAGACATTTTTTGACAGACACATATGGCTATTCAATTCATTTCCGAAATCATTCTGATTATTCCCTGTGACTTTGTAGACTGGGATGACCACAGAGGCTCCCCATACTGACAATCTGTGTGTTCCACAGGTCTGAGTTAAGGTGTGCAGCAATGGAGTGATGTGTGGAAAACTTATTCCAGTTCTTTCACGTAGAACCTTGTTCTCAAAAGCTGGTTCTAACTGGTTGAAAACCATTATAGCAAGCCATCTGTTTCTTTTCTGGCTTCTTTCCTTTCTGTTTTTATTCCATTTGCATGTGTGTTGGAAACAGAAAAGGGGGGGAAGATGTCACTCACGGTCCTGGCTTCCTGTGCTTGGACTGCCGGCCTTCTTTGAACCCCTGCCAGCTCACACTCTAGGTCTTCTCTGAGTTTCAAGACTTGATTACCTCCCCCACTCCCTACTCAACAAATGTTCACTTGAGGTTGATTTTCAGTGGGAAGGAAAGCAGAGTGGCCAAGAGCAGGGATTTAAACCATCCCTGAGGCACCTTCATTTTATATGTTGCCTTCTCCGTCAGTGTCCTTCCATCCTGAGCTTGGAGACACAAGTACCCAGAAGGGGAGTGAGCCACCCTTGTTCTGTGGCACCTCCGTGGCTGGCTTCAGGCAATGTCCAGGTCTCCTGGCTCTAGGCCTGCTGTTCCTTCCCCTGCTTCAGTGCCCCTCCTGTCCTCTATTCTGGGTCATTGGCAGTGCTGCAGGGAGCTTCATTAATTATGATCAGCTTGCTGTGTCAAATGGATTACAAATGGAACCACCTGTGGGGAGCCCACAAGGTTACTGACAAAGGCTCGGAGGAGACTGGGAAGTGAAGGGCAAGCCTCTTCTAAAAGCACGCTGTTATAAAACAGATCCGCAGAAATAGATTAAGCCTGAAAGACAGTTTCACCTTTGCTACAGTTCTGACTTAATGAGGTCTGTGGGATGTGTTGGTATCTTTACTCATGCGTGGAACCCAGTTGTTGACAGCATGCATTAGAATCCATAGGAACTGAACCTGCTCTAGAATGGGAATTCAGTTAGGAGGCGAGTGCTGTATTCCAGATGAGACATGCTTCAGAGATTATGTAATGTCAGGGGGACTAAGGAGGAAGATATGGCAGGTCAGATATGATTAGTAAGGGAGAAAGCAGAATTATAGATGAATCTGTGTTCAGTCTTGTATAGCAGAGTGAACAATGATATTGATCAGTAAGTGGAGAGAACGAAGTAAGAGACCTCAGAACATGACCACAGATTCAGACATGGTGGAAAGGGTAATGTTCGGTGGATAGTAGTGTTGAGGCAAGACATCATCCAGGAAAAACTGGAAACAGATCTAAGTATCCTCAGAACAGTGGTCATTGGAGTGCTACAGACAGCTGCAATTGTCCACAGGAAATTTGCCAAGAGAATGCTCTGTCTGGGATGCAAAATCGTAAGGCTTGAAAAGAAAAACGAGCAGTTCACAAAGGGATCCTAAGAAGAGAATAAAAAGAGCATTGCAAAATGAATCAAAGAGATTTGCAAGGAAGGGATGGTTAATTATGCAGGGTGATTAAGCTGGGTAAAAACTGCCGAATCGGAAGGATTTGGCAGAAAGGTAATCAGTCACTGGTGGTGAAGGCAAAGGCAGCTGACTTAGAATTTGAGACAGGGACGCCTGCTTGAGGAGAGTTATTCAATGAGTGGGAGCTATAGAGCTGGGGCAGCAAGAATAAACATATGAAGATTTTCATAAACAGTTGTTTTTAGCATGGTAAGAAGATGGGATTAGAGGCAGTTAATCTACCCAGGCCATTGTTTATAGAAGGGATGGGAACAGGAAGGAGGGCAGAAGCATGGAGCAGTCAGAAAATGCATGTAAGTAAGCAGCTGAAGCTAACTTCAAAGGAGAGATTACCAATCAGCCAAAGAGGGAAGGGGGTAGGGGAAGGAAAGAATATGTGAAAGCCGAGAAGCAGAAGACTGTGGGCCTATGGAGGTAATTTTAAGTAGGTTTTGTTTGTACTATCCCCTCCTTCATATAAACCTTTCAGTCCACCCTGACTAGACTGTTTATTTGAACTTGAACAAGGCTGCCATTGGTGCCCTATATCTGTGTTCACAGTATCCTCTTCATAAAGAATGTGAACCCCCTTGATCAAACACCCGAGTTCTTCTCATTCCTTGTGGCCAAGAATGGTCATCAAGGTCTACATGAATCTTCCCTGAATGGTCTTCTTCTCTAAATGCAAATAGTGCCTTTGCCCCCTCTCCTTGGGAATTCCCTTGGGTCTTTCTCATGCTTTTGTAAATGTAGTCTCACAGCAGGAGACAAGAAAAGGTCCTTGAGGCCAGGGCCATGTTTCTTTTAAAACCCATCTTGGTATTATTGTCACTACTCAGCACCAGATATATTAGTTACTTACACCGTTGCTGTACTAAAAGTACCTGAAAAACACAACTTAAGGTATGGGGGGGCTTTTTTGGCTTACAGTTCTAGGGGATACTGTCCATAGTGGCAAAGTGTGACAGCAGGAAATGCTTTGGGGGAAGGTAAGCACATGTAAAGACAGGGAAGCTAGAGGAAGCAGTGAATATTTAGGTAACTTTTAAGCATCAGAGGCTGCTGTTCAACTTGTTTCCATAGAAAGGAGAGCAATGAGTATGATGCTGTTCTGTACAGGACCTCCTGGAGGACTACTGTCCACCTGTAGGGTAGGTCTTCCCACCAATATTAATGACATCTACATACAACCTCACTGAAACATCTGGAGATTTGTCTTCCTGGTGATTCTACATCCAAACAAGTTGACAATCAAATTAAGCATCGCCTAGGTCTTCTGTTAATTTTGTGGTTCTTATGACTGGAAACATCAGTTGTTGTGGGATAATCTTTTTGTACACTGTGAAGCCGTTTCTTTGCCAAGGCATCTTCTGATTGGTTTAATAGAGGGCTGAATGGCCGATAACTAGGCAAGAGAAGAGGGAAAGAGAGGAACTCAGGAAGAATCTAGGCACATGAGAGAGGCCAGAGAGACACAAAGGGGGTCAGACATACAGAATGAAGGAGAGGTAAAAAGCCACATGGCAGAATGTAGATTAATAGAAACTGGTTAATTTAAGTTATAAGAGCTAGTGGGACAAGCCTAAGATAAAGCCAACCTTTCATAATTAATTATAAGTCTTCATGTCATTATTTGGGGCCTGATGATCCCAACAAGAAAGTACTACTACAATTGGCAGCTTTAGGAACTTGTAGGAACATCTCCTTTTCTGGCTCCATGCCAAACCCACTGCTCTAGAAACTGGTGGGGTGAAGTATATAATCTATGCATTCGAAGGCGCCGGTGATGCTGTACCGTTGTTGTTTGAAAGCCACTGAGTCCTCTAAAATGTGTTCTCTCTATATATTTGTGTACATGTGTGTATGAATAGAAGAATTTGTACAAAGACAACTACAGTTCCTATCTGACCATTTCTCTTAATTATGTTTGAGAATACAACTTTAAGCTCAGATTATAATTTGAAAATTTATCAGTTTTATGTACCTCTTTTTCTTCAAAATGCCATCTCTATAACAAATACTAACAAAAAGAAATTGAATAATGGAGAAACATCATTGTTTCTTAAGAGATTCTAGGGTCCTTGGACTTGCTGGCAATTAAATTTCCTAGTCTATCTTTTCATTCACTTTCTCTTAGGCTTTGTGTCCTCCATTTTTCTTCCCACTTTTCATTTTCATTTTACAAGCTATCTTTAATTATGGTTTTATGAAATTGTGCACTTTGGAATAACATAACTAATAGGAGCCTTAATATGCTATATCCAAATATGCATTTACAGTAAAATTCAACAATTTCCAAACAAGTTCAACTGGATTTGCCCAGAGATTTTAAAATGAGTCAGGAAATATTCCATTTTGCTCACATTCTTTCAGCATCCCTTCAAAGTCCAGAGACAGGATTTTAGTTCGTGTGGTAGAGACAGGATTTTAGTGTGTGTGGTGAGACATCCTTATCTGGAGTTGAGTTAGCTTCAGAGGGTTTGTGGAGCTTTGCTACAAGGAATTGCAGGACTCACTACAGGTATAGCCTTCCTATGCTGTAGAGAGTTGTTCTGGATTTGTGCCAAGGCTTTTCAAGCTCTAAGTTTTCCTCAACCCTATGTGATAATCAAACAAGCTCTAGGTTAGGCAAAGGTGTGACAAATGCACATTAAAGACAGACCCCAGCCAGTGGTCATCCTTAATAGGTAACATGACCTTTGCTTAATGTCAGCCTTTTCCCATCTGTCTTCAGACTGTGTCCACTTGTGAAGAAACGTGCATGTGCACACACATCTATGCAGCATAGACACCCTCTATATATGTGTGCACCCACTCATGTGTCTCATATTATACATGAGTGGACGCGTGCACGGGTGCTTTTAACATTAAAAAAAAAAAAAATAGTGCCGGGCGTTGGTGGCACATGCCTTTAGTCCAAGCACTTGGGAGGCAAAGGCAGGCAGAACTCTGTGAGTTCGAGGCCAGCCTGGTCTCCAGAGCGAGTGCCAGGATAGGCTCCAAAGCTACACAGAGAAACCCTGTCTTGAACAACAAAAACAAACAAACAAAAAAGATAGCGAGACATAGCCTGTCACAACTGTACATGTGTATATGCTTTCCTTTATAAATGTACAGTAGATATCTCTTTATGTGATGTGAGCAACGCACATGAGAAAGGAAGGGAGGTATAAGCATTTAAATGATAGATCTTACCAGTCAGAGAGAGAGAGACAGAGGGAGGGGTGGGTCTTTCTTATCTATAAGTATCTTCCTAGTTTTGATGACTCTGCTCCCATAAAAGCACAGAATTGCCAGTGAAGTTGAGTTTCAGGAAGAATACCCATTATCTAAAGAGACCCTGAGCTACTCAAAGCCCCATCCAGTGAGGTTAAGTTCATTGACCATTTGCTAGTTAGAATAAGAGTCCCAGAAATGATGAAAGAGTGAGTTATGTATGATTCCTTTCTTTTCTAAAAATATGGTTCTCCTCTGGGAGTTCTCACTGCTCACTGACGTCCCTGCTCATGCATAGGGCCTGGCGTTTCCTCCAGTGCCTTTGCTCTTTTGAAAGAAGTTAAATATAGGAAAAAGAGGTTGTACTCTTAGCTCTCAAAACATTGATGTTCAGATTATTGCATATTATTTTTTCACAATTAAAAAGATAAAGAATGAACCTATTTGTCTCCGCATTTAAAGAATCTGAGTTTTATAGGAGTTGTTAATCACTGGGGATGAGAAAGGAGACGTGTTAGAGTCATTTGCTGTGCCCAGCTAGACATTCATTTTCTCCTTTGGCTTAAACATGATAAATTTTTCACAAATTGAAACAGTATCAAGATCCCTGTCAGCTTAGGTGGGCAGTATCTGTTTGCTAATACGTATAACATAGTGACACATAAGAGACTTGAGGAAGCTGAGGGCACTCAGGTACCTGGATGGAAATAGTTTTATGAGAGGATCAGGAAGCCAAGGATTATTTTTGTCCTCAATAGTTTCCTAAGCATCCAGGCTCTGTAATGAAAAAACAAAACAAAAGAAAAGAAAAAAAAAAAAAAAACCTCAACCACAAACCAGTCCCATTAATATGTTGTGCCTCCATCTATGCCATCCTCTAACTTTAGATAACACCCCTGGCCAAGGTTCCATCTCCTTTAAGGTTGGAAGTGGGGAAGGGGAACTCTTCAACCCCACTGTGAAAAGGCACCTGACGGTCATCAATGCCAATCATATATTTTGTTACATCAAGACTATGTACTGGCTCCGCCCCTGCTGGCAATTTCCAGCTAATACTTTGCAGTTCTCTAGCCTCGGAGGCCCATGCTTGCCAATTCTGCTCTCCATGGCCCCATGAACTCCTTTCCTTTCAGACTGAAGTAGGTTTTAAGAACCTAGCTTGGGAAAGCAAGTTAGCCTTCTAGCTCATTTCTTCCCTGCTTGTTACTATGCTAAAATTTTGACCCCAAAGTATTTATTGATTCAGTATTTATCAATCTAACCTAATGCACATACACATATGTATGTATACATATATATGTCTTACCTATGAGTATGTATACATACATGTCTTATATGTGTGTGTGGGGGGGTACACTACAGAAAATAGCTGAAACTTCTTCCTAAGACACAAAAGAAGTACAGTGGAACCAAAAAAGTGGTCCTGTGTAAAGGGAAATAATTACTAATTATCTATTTAACTGAGTTATTTCATATAACTTTCACTTAAGGTAAGTATCGTTCACTATTAAACCCAAATTCACACACAGGGACGTCAAAGTTTAGTGAGGTTGAGTGATGGATGAGGTTCACAGAAGGCAAGCTCACAAAACCAGCCAAGCTTCCTCAGATGTTGGATTGCTTCTCTTAAGGTATGAGCAACTTCTCCCAACTGAAAAATTGTCTCTGAGCCCTTTCAATTGAATTATAAACAGTGATAGTCAGCCTTGGAGAATTTGTCCCAGGGAACTGCTGGCCAAATCTGAGAACATTTTTGGTTGCTCCAACTGATGGAGGCATCTTAGTGAGTAGAGGCCAAGGATGCCACAGAAGTCCTTCAGTACTGGGGATAGCCTCAAACAACAAAGTGTTGATGAAGTCCTTCAGTGCTGGGATAGCCTCTAACTGGTCCAAAACATTACCATTGCTGGGGTTTAGAGTGTGATAGACAGGATGGATTTTTAAAGCCACTTCATAAAGAGCAGGTTGTTTTGTCTCTGCCTTACTGCTATGCACATTCTGTCCCATCACAGATGACAGCAGCCTTCTGAATCTAACTCCCTACCCCATGGTTAGAAGACGGAAGAGACGGTTCTTTGGGTTGTGTTGTCTTGTCTCAAGCTAGGTGGTTACTCCTGGAAACTCACAGCCAAGATCACCTGAAAAACACCCCAGAACCGGAAACCTCCACACAGCGGAACCCGAATGGTTTTGAACACCTTTTCTATGCTTCCCTATTATTTTATCGGCCTCTCCCTGCCCTTTTAAATAATTTTACACTTGAAAGCAGCTGACATCAAGAAAAAAAAAGAACAGATTTGAAAAGGCACAGCCTGTTTTTAAAGGGATTTTTAAAAAGTTGACATTGTGCATGTCTGCTCTGAACCACGCCGTGACAGATGCAAGAATTATGATTTTTAAATTATTTAAAGGTTTTTTTAAATGTATTATACAGAGAAAAATTATTTCACATATAATAGTATATCTGTAGCTCTTGCTGATCTCATGTTAACAATTTATCAGATATGAAAGATGTCTCTAAACATAGAAATCTATTTAAAACAGCAAAACTGTTCAAAACACAATCTATGAGTGTCATTAGAAATAATACTATAACCAAACACATACCACCTCATGTGTTGCTTTCTCTGCACTCATTTACATTTAGTCTTCCATTCTGTCAGAATTTAAGTGTCCACATAAAAAGAATCTTAATTTCTAATGCAACAAAACTATATATGAAAAATCCATTTTGTAAATACACAGTTATCCTACTATCTTCATACAATGCATATGGGCAACTACTTTTCTTTTAATCCAATGGTGTCTTTTTAAGCTTCTTGGAAAATGAAGTTATCCAGTTAGGAAATGGTGTAGTCACATATACAATTACCCTCAAATGTAAAATTGAATATTATCACATTTTGTTTGAATTGAAATCTGAAGCATGGAGTCCGCACATCAGCATAGTGTTAAATCTCTTAGGGCATGCTGGAATTAGCTCAGATCATAAAACTCTTTAACATGTCACATTATTAATGAAAAGATGTTTTAGTTAAGCTTAGTGTGTCTCATTTTAGATGACTATGCAGATATGGCTTTTCCAATGTTACTCTGTGTCTTGTCTTAATCTTTAGCATCTTGAGAGCAGGACACATTAAGCAATACTGTATTTTAGAGAAGAGGGAGCCACATGCTATGTTTTTCTGCCCCTGGCTTTATTATGCTCTTCTTCCACTGAACTTGTTATATGGTACAGATCCTGTTTTATTTTCTTCCACCCTCCCTTTGGCCCTTTTCCAAGGCAGAGCTCCCCATGAGTTGGAGATGAATCTTTGCACTTCTTGCCATGTTTTCCATTCTCTGAACAAGTCAGACAGGAGGTACCTACCATGGCCCAGTCTTGAGAGGGACAAGAGGCTTTAATGCCAGGCCTGGGTAAGCACTTACTTGTACACTAATATCCTAGCCTAAAACTGAAGTGTTTTAAAGATGGAAACCATGGATAATTGCTGTATTAGGTTGAATTCTATGAAATGGCTGATACTGACTGTTTTGACCTATAAAAAAAAAATGGCAGTTTCACACAGTTCAACCTAATACAGGGAAAGGAAATGATACAGCATATGGAATTTTCTCTTATCTTTTTGTAACAAAAGTGAAAGAATTCAGGATGGAAAAGGCCTCCAAAGTCTATCATTGGTCTGAATTTCAATTCTACTAGTTGCTGTTGGACATATTCTTGGAACCCCACACTGAGTACCACTGAGATGGTAACTAATGCATTGTGGTGGCTATGAATGGATTCGCTAAAAGAAGTACTTTTGACAAATTACATGAGAAAATTTACGGATTTTCTCAATTGGAATGTTCATGAAACAATGGAAGGAATGTGTTATTTAAAGACTCCTTACAAAGCAAGGAACCGCTCCCAACTCACCTGGCCCGCCATCTTGAATAAAGCTTAGTATTAACTCCCGAATACAGTTCATTTCGAAAGAGGTAACTCCCGAGGCTATCTCATTTATTAGCTATCATTTCTGAATGGCGTGTTCTCAGCTCCCGTTTCTGTTCTGTCGCACTCTCTGACTGGACTGAAATCTACACTTCAGCCTCATTCCTAGCAATCCATGCAAATTTACTAACTGATAAGCCCGTGGGTGTGCCACGCGCTCCTGTTGATGCCTGACCTAAATCACTCTGGCTTTGTTCTTCTGTGCTCGCTCTCTCCTTAGTCTCAGCGTGATAATAACACCTTTTGTGCAATTGTCCTTTGTACAGCTGAAGACTGTTAAAAATAAAAAATATTCAGGTCTCACCTCCATGTCTGAGAAGGCCATGGTAGCTACTCATGGAGATGGGAATTTGTCTGATTTCCTAGCCAGACTTCCGTATCTAAGGTAATATAGTCCAAGCACCTTAGCTTTTATTCAGTGCCTGCTTTTCAGCCTTTGCTCAGTTTTATAGTTCCCACAGACACACTCCGAGATTTACAGACCATCATTCGGTAGCAGGTTCTAAAGACACATTTAGTAATCAAAGTTCTGACAACTCTGTTGGCTCGTGGTTGCCATGGGTGTTTCACCACCTCCCCTTACATATGCCAAGTGCATCTGGGAGGAGCTGCCCCTCTCTCCTGTCACCTGCCAATGGACTTTCTCAGGTGTGGGTCCATGAGATAAATAAAGTTCTTGCTGCCTCTGTTCCCTGTCGGAAACTGTCTTTGCACTTACAGAAACTCCCAACTAACTGATCTGGGGTAGGAGAAAACACCGATGATTCTCTCACGAAAAAACAAACCCACGTGCTTCAAATAGAAAAGGATGACACTTCTTGTGTGTGTGGCACACACTCATCACCATACTTTTTATATCCTATTTTAGTTTTTCCGGGAAATTATAAAGAATACATTTATTTTGTGGGAAACCTGTAAAACATCACTGTGTATAAAAGTAAACATCATCTGGACTCCACCACAAATGTTTAAAACCAAGTTTCTAGGTTCTAAATCAGGTGGGGGTGGGCCCAAAGACTCTTTTGGAGAAGACATATGAAGTAGCCTTAAGGCCAAAGTATCACTTTAGTGTCTGATCCCCGATGTAAAGAGTCTAGATGCAGACTTGCTGAAAATTGCCCTGTTGTGCCATTCGTTATTCGGGTACAAAAAAGCTGTAGAAACAGCAGGGCCCTAATGTCAGGCGAAATTCTCAAACCCCTCCCAACCATTGGGTCCCTCCTTACTCTTGTGAAAAGTTAGGACGTTCAGATTTAGGCAATACTGCCACCTAGTGGAAGCTGCACTTCAAAATGACACAAAGCAAACACAGAAAAGTATCTCATTTATTAGAAAACCTGTGACTGGACCAGATTAACAATGAGCCCATTTGAACTTGCAGACTGTGAAAGTCTCAGGATTGAAAGAATAAGAATTATCATGTAGCCCAAGTCCCTTCCCCACACATCCGTGCCTAAGCAATATCTGTTTTCCTTTTATTCTAGAAAAATCAAGACAGAAAATGCCTCACAGTAAATTGTTACAACTAACTACAGTACCCACAGTACACCCAAAAACATAAAATAAGTGAACACATCACACTTCAAATCTGGAAAAGCTTGCGTAATTAAGTAAGTTATTTGGAATAACTAGCTAACCTCTCCTGGGAGCAATACTGGGTCCATAATCTAATCAAAACAAATTCTAGATGAAATAAGCATTCAAATTTTAAAACACATGAGTAAATAATAAACATGAAAAGGATTTATCAGGATCCATGAAATGTCATTCTAACGTGGGGGATAAAAGCCTTTCTAAGCATAAAACCAAAGGAAGAAGTGATAAAGAAAAGATTGATGGGTTGGACTGATGTTATTTTTTAAAAGAAAGTAAAAGTCCTATACAATAAACAATAAACCATAGTAAGAGGAAATAATATTTGCAATTCATGCGATCAAGAGATTAGAACTCTACTAGATGAATAACCATAGCACTTTGGGAAGGTCTCAATGGTTTACAAGACCTGTACTTTTTCCACTACGGCTTGTATGATTGCTGGTTTATCCCACTGAATTGAAAGCATAAAAGGCAACAATCTCATACATTTTGCTTAACATTGTTCTTTCATCTCCAAACATAGTGCCATATAAAAACCAAATAATGAAAACATATTCATTGAATGAGAAGATAGTGAATGAATGGCATAAATAATATTTTATAATTTGGAGAAGGAATCAAACTTTCAAGTAGCTTCCAATTGAGCGAAGAAACTAAGGTAGTAACACACCATAAGCTAAAATAATCCACTGATAACACTGAACATATTTGAATTTACTAGTAACAAAAACTACAAGTGTGAACAACTCCAAAAGATGCATGTAAGTTCCTGGGAACAATAAGGAAGTTTGATATATAAACATTCTCTTGCAGTCAACAAAAGTAAAAATTGATCTGACCTTTCCAGAAAATATTTTGGTACTATTTATTTTTCATGAGTGTTCAGTAATTTTACATTAAGGAAGTTCTCCTTTTAAAAGTTCAACAATGGGCCAGCAAGATGACTCAACAGGGAAAGGCTCTTGCCACCAAACAAGTTAGACCCCTGGACTCACATGGTAGAAGGAGGTAACTGACTCCCCTGCAGGTTAGCCTCTAATCCACACACACACACACACACACACACACACACACACACACACTAAGTGTAATTATGTTATTTAATGTTCAGCAAAAAAGTGAGCTAAGATGCATTTATTTATTATTTTAAAAGTCATACAAGAAAGGATGTTTGTAAATATGCCTACATTGTATGGTTAAATATGGTATATCCTTTCAATGGATACTGTGCACCAATCAAGAATGCCCACCATGTGTATTTATTGAAATGTACATTCTATGTTGTTAAATAGAGAGAAAGAGGTAGTAAAGTTTCTAGAGAATTGCCCTCTTACAAACATACCTACATGTGTGTACATTACTGAAAGTGAAAGGATGTTTGCCTATAGGATGACAGCATTTCTCTCTGGGAGGTGAGATTTGGAGCAATCGTATTTTCTTTCTGCATATCTGTGATTTCTGACTTTTTCACAATGAGCATGTAGTATCTGTATAATTTTTTCAGGGAATAAACA